AAGAGAACAATTTGATACCGCCCGGAGGAGGAATAAGATTGAAGAACTAACGTAATTCCACATCACGGGAAGTCATCCACCATATTGTTTTTCTGATTGGGTCCCAAGCCCCCTGCAAATGTTTCCACTAAGTAATTGTTGTGGATTGGACTTGTAAATAAAGGACTACAGAAGGTTTTTGATGCAACAACCACTGAAGTAACCTCGAGTAAGAGTCCCCACGAAGAATCGAACCTCAGACTATCGTATTCCGCCAACCAAAGTTACACTACGCTCTTCGACGCTCCACCATGGTGCTCGGAATCCGAACGTCCGAGGTTTGATTCCTTATGATAAATAACGGTAAATCATAATTTTTTCTTCGTCTCGCGCTCATGAAAAGACATGGTTCTAGCGTTGCCCCAAACTCTGTATTCGCATCTTTTAAAGTTTTTTTTAAGAGAATCCTTAACAGCTGAGGGCTTTAGAGAAAGCCATTTCAGAGTTTTAAGTAAGTCCTAACTAACAACCGCTGAAAACCTCTTTCTTCTAGGATAATAATAAAGAGAGAAATTTTCAAAAGGTATTACTTCAAAGAATGGACTTGTGCCGTCATAGAAATCGTCAGGCTTCTTGCACTTCTTTGAACCACCCTTTTTGCGATCACAATGCAACTTAAACCCCTATTTATCTCCTCGGTCAACACTGACTTTGCACTTATGCTTGGCTCTAGAGTTATGTCCACCTAAAACCCTTTTGGGTAGGACTTATTCAGGAAAGGCCCTGATGTGAGTGGCTATTTTGGAAAAATTCAGTAAATCATATGTACTTGTAATGAGAACGGATTAGAGGACTTGCCATTCATTGCAATGTCTAAACTTGATGATATTGGTCAGGGTAATTGTTTACTACATGGAAGTTTCCTCGCGAAAACAGAATTGAAAGCTTCCTGTCTGATAATGATTTGTGGGAGAAAAGAAAACGTACAAGCTGATTCTTGCCACTCAGGCACGCTCAGTTTCACTTAAGTCCTTATTTGATACCCCATTCGCACCAAAAAAACATGTTTTAGTTAAACTGCGTTTCACTTAATGAAAATTAAAATCAGAGAACCGCTGAACAGCTGAATTTTTCACAGGATTCAAGCAATCACCAACTTTCTATATTTAAATTAGAAAAATATCTGTTTATGCAGCTTCTATGAAGAAAAAAATTTATAAACCGTGGTTAACAAGACAGTTTTAAAACATGTTAACGCTTTAGGTGTGACTGGGGTATTATTTAGATCTGCATCTCCCATCAGCTTATACTTTTGATCACATCCCCTGTTTGATGACCAGACTCTAGTGGCTTCTTTGGTTAACAAATGAAGATGCACGATAAAGCGGTAAAGAGCTGCTGAATATTATCAACTATCAAAACAAACTAGAGTGGTTGCATGATAAGATGTTGGCAAGCAGCCTCACGAACTGATAGGCATAAAGAAGGAGGCTATTTCACTAGGAGAGAACAATGGCGACCTTTGTGTCATCTCGAGTACGAAAGGAAACACTGCACCATGGTTCGGCTCGCTGTTAACTTGTTTCCTTTTTCAGGCTATGAATACTTCTGTTAAGGAGAAAGGTAACTGTGCGCCAGTGTTCGTTTGTAGGAAAAATCAATCTCAGAACATCGTGTTTCTTTGAGGGGAACGGCTCGTTATGGCGCCCCAGCAGTAATTTTGGCAAACTCAAATTTGTTTTATCAAGTCATTCAAACTTTTCACTCGTCACGACTAAGTATCATGGTTGCAGAGACGATTCAGAAGTTTGTTTTGCAGTGTTGAAAAGAGCCCCAACGTAACCGTATACTTCATCTTCGATAACTCAAGATTTGAACGGGTTAGCGACCCTTGATACTAATACTATCAACAGCTCAAGGAATGTTCGACCCTTCATAGTAAATGCTTAGTTTAGGGGACTTCTTTACAGCTAAGGGTACAGCAGTCTGATTTAAATGAGGAGCTTTTGTACGTCGAATTTCAGTAATCTGTTTCGTGAAACCTGACTTTCAGTTTTACCGAGATTCTCTTAAAGCATTGTTTGCCAAATTGGATTAGACAGTTTCGATCCGTTGGAAAAGTTGGGTGGATCTATTCGGTTCTATCGGTCGCTTCCGATAAGCGGCAAACTGTTCCCAGCATTTTAACAAGGATCGTGTTGATTGACCAAGATATTTCACAAGGGCAGGGCAATTCTAAAATACAACTCGAGCAAATGAGTGAATGAAATAAGCCATTAGTTAAACTTTGGTCAAACTGAAGTCTTAGGTCTTCTCTCTTTATAGGATATCATCTACGAAGGTGGAGAATATCGCCCAAGTTTTACCCTTATACTAATAAAATGAGAGAATGAAACGACGAAGATTGCCTTGGTAAGCCAAAAATGTTTTCCTCGTTACTTGTATGAATTTTTTACGGTCTTTTTGAAATATTGCAGCTTGAGTTTGAGGACAGGTTATCGCCTCTCATTTCAGAGCTGTGCTTTCTGGATGCCGCCGTTCTAAAAGATATTTAAAAAAGCGAGCGTGGACAAGACGGAGCGAAAAAAGTTGAAAGATTTCTTCAATAAGATAGTAGACAAATGGAAAGTATCTTCAAATGACAGACACATGGGCATTATCACTTTTGGCTCGAATGAGTCTCTCATATTCGTATTGCACATAAAAATATCACAGTGCTGACGCCTTAAACAAAAGGGTGGCGGACACCATATTTCATGACTCAACCAAACATGGAATCTGCACAGACCTTGCCGAAGATCTGGCAGGGAAAGCAATATTTACCAGCTAAGTGGGCGACAGACCCAGAGTACTTTGGGTGAGATATCCCATATATATATGTACAAAAAAACCAACAAATGAACAAATTAATTTGTTGTTGGAGAACAGTAAATTTTTGCAACTACAAAGTTGCAAAATATATGTAAGCAAACTGTGCATAAAAAGTAAAAACACAATAATGGTGATCATCAATGATGTATTTTCACCAAACTGTATATGTACTTATCAAGAAAAGAAATCATACCTCTATGCTCTTCAGTTTTAGTCCAGTATTCATGAATTAATAAGGTTTGCTTGTAGACTTAAAAAACAAAACAAAGAAAAGTTTCTTACACTCGATGGTAGTTGGAATTTTGAAAGCCATCCAGGAGGAACCTGTAGGTAAATATTGGTTTTCAAAAAAATTAAACTGTCTGATAACATCCTATATATTCACTTATTTATTAATTAACCAGATTTACACATTGGGTTTACTCTGTTTTATGCATGATACAAGTAAATACATATCTAATATATTTCAATAAAAATAAAGCAAATCTCACCATTTTTGTAGGTGCTATCCCCGAAATTTCTCATCTTTAGCTGACCAACTGGCAACTTGAGTGTTTTCCTTTGGGATAAAATAGAAAGAATACAATCGATAATGTACTCTTCACCATCCCGCAAAGTTTAATATATAAGAACTTACTTAGACAATGCTCAGTTTTGTCGCCTCGTCCGTAAAACAGAGATCCTTGAGCGATTTACCCTTTCTTTAAGTGCCGATGTCACTTCTAAATTTTCATAATCGCTGATGTTTTCTGAATCCTCAATCGACGTTTGAAACGTCTTACTCGAAGGACTTGATTCTGCACGCTGAAAGAGAGAGAGCCAAAAAAATCAGCTTAAGTGGATGCAAACAAGACATAGACATAAAAATATCAGGTCATCTTTTTAAGAAAACTATTAAGAATTCAGAGTGAGAGATCCTAAAATCAGAGAATCTTGAAATAAATTAAATCCATCTTGTGCAAACGCAGTATTCGAACTGTAACCGTCCTTATCTCTCGGCGCCAAAATTTGATCACATGACTTTAGCTGTGAAACCGCTGAGACTCAACAAGCCTCAGAAGAAAAGGCGAACCATTCATGCGTCAAATTCTCTGGTGGGAAAATTAATTATCGTACCGACGAAGAACTCGTGTCATCTTTAGGTTCAGCGTTCTTTACAATCAATTCCTTGAACTTTAGACGCTCTTTTATAATAGGGATGTAGTGCCTTGAGCGATAGCAAGGAGATCTTTGCCATCACAACCGTCCTTTTCTGCAAGATAAGATACGAACAAATATCAACGGAGCGGTCAGGTTTGTGTATGTAAAGCTGCAATAAAACGTGTTGTTAAGAAATTTCTTTCGCTTACCTTTCCTTTCTTAAGCCTCATTCCATGCGACTGTAGCCAAGAAACAGCCTCTTCAGAGATGCATTCGCTGTTATAATTCATTATTGTGTCCGACGCATGTGGTCTAGGTTCGACTAATGTGATACACAGAAGGAGCTGCTAAGACGCACTAGCTCAAGAAGGACGAATTTTGGAGAGAAACACCTTTTATGACAAAATTTTACTCATTGAAAAATTCACAGCGTAAAGTTGAGTAAGTCAATCGATAGTTTGCTCTTCCGGTTTCCACCGAGCGAAAAATTTTCTTTTACCGGTTTATTGCCCTAATAACATCCCAAATCTCTACGTCTTTGTGTCGTTCAAGTCGTGATGGGAGTTCCATGTAACCAAAATTGGTGACAATTTTGGGATAATTATTAGTCATTTCAAAAATTGCACATCGTTGGTAAATCCTACTTGGATCTTGGTAGGGCCAAATTGAGAAAAAGCTCCAAAGTAGAATTCATTTGGGCCAATTCAGATTTTGGAGGGGTCGAAATGGTACCTGTCCGACCCGTTCTAGCTTAAATAGTCCAAAACGAGCCTCGACAGGCCATACTGGCCCTCATGACATTGGAGCCAATTTGGCTTTTGGGGTCAATTTGGCTCTCTTCATTTTACAGTGTAATGATCTTTTGCATAATCAATAAAAAAAAGCCATTTAGAAATTACCTTTGCTTGCTTAATTAAAACAAATCCTTTTCAATTTAGTGATCAATGCTTTTTTTCCATGTTGTCCTCGTGAAGATAATGTTATTTCAAACCTGTCTATTCCTGTTTATTCTTGGAGCTGACAGTTAACATTATGCTGCGCAATCTTTGCTTTTTACACGGTTTTGAATATCAAATTGTGCAATTTGGGTTTTCTTTAAACAGTTCTAAGGATCACAATATGCAATATATGTTTTTAAACAGTTTTAAATGACAGAAATGCGATCAACGTTTTTAAACATTTTACACTGATCTTCTCATTAATATGCTTCATTGGCTCGGTTGCCAAGAAAGTAAGGAGAGGAGAGATTTTGTTGCTTAACGAGTTTTTCTAATGGCGATCTGATGAGAATCGCAAGGTTTAGACAAGAATGTAGATGAAAAGAAGAAAATGTCTCGGTAGCAATGCTCGTTATCTGTTTGCTTTTCCAAAAAACACTCTTTACCATTTTAGAAATTATTGCTCACGACCCCTTTTTGCTCGCAGAGAAACTTGCTTAATTTACAAACGTGATTTCCAAAAGGGGGACTGTTGCCAACATTTTCAAACACGACTTTTTTTTTCCCCGAAAATTATTAGCAGATAGTGGCCATGGTCTTCTTATATTATAATTGTTTCATCATGCTCTGTCAGTTGTTAACCAAGTAACCAAAAGGAACCTTTATTTATTGAATTGCTTGCGCTATTATAAAATTGGCGTTTGTTACAAGGATTTGAGTTAAAATAAGCGCGTTCAAGAGCAAACACAGTTTTCCTTCAATTTTTTCCCTTTTGTCTCAATTCTCCTTTTTTAAACGACCATTGCAAGCAATTTTTAGTTTCTTCACACGCCATAATCTTTCTTTTTTTTCAGAAAAATCACGACACGGGAGACAGCTGCTTTGTTGTTATCATTTAATCTCGACTGATTAATTTGTCTTCGACCGATGGGTGAGCCAATTTTAAAGACCAATGTTTGAATTCCTGTTTACCTCATTCAAACCACGGTTATGTGACCACATTGCTGAAAAGGCCTATTGGAGAAGTATAAGGCAGCATTGATAACATCAGAAGAATCATATGATGCATCAGAAAACATCGATATAATCAGTTTGTCCTATTAATGGAATAACGCAGTTTGATAGCGCCGTACTATCAATTGACGACGCCAGGGTGGGAGTTAATCCAAGGGCGTTCAAACTGAACGTTTTCACGCGGCATGTTCACGCGATAAGGGACAGCTGACCCTCACATTATTACTACAAAGTTGTCAAAATAAAAGAGAGAAATGAAAAAGAAAACGAAAAAGACACACGACTTGTTTATGGGGATATTTTTCACTGAATCCTCTAAATTAAATTATAATTGTAAAGCACCATGTGAAACATGTTCGCCATGTTTCCCAGATATGCTTATTCAACTTTAACGTTGATCGATATACCCTGAAGGTAAAATCTTCGCATCATATTCTACACGTTTTAATAAGGAAGTTCAATGGGTGGCGAGGTAACATATTTTACCAAGGCAACATCTACAACGAAATTGATTTCTATCAAGCTTCCAATCATTACACAAAAAATAATACAAAACCAAAAAAAGAAATACAATAATACAAAAAAAGAAACCTTATCCGCCAACGGAAAGCAAGGTCGAAAGAAAGAAAGACTACCATAATGAAACAGCCCTCAATGGAGGCAAATGAGACGGTATTTGCTTGTAAATATGCAAATTTACACTGATCTATCTTCAACTTTTAAGAGTCTACGTGATCACAAAAAGGACTTCCCTTGATATGTATCTTAAGCTTGCCTGGTTAGCAACAGAGCATAACAAGATAAAATATTTATGAGAAGATCAGAAACTACTTGCTATGGTATTAGTAGCTGTTTAAGGAAACAACTGAAAATTAAATTATATGATATCTAAACTGTTTAAAAAGCAGAAATTTCACAGTGTGAAAAAAAAAGAAAAAAAAACAACGAAAACAAAAAAAAAGGTAGAATGATGAATTAATGGTATGTTATATTCTTAGCTTCGTTAAGAAACAGAAAAAAAAGAGCTTTTAAAGATCGTTTGAATAGAGAACGACTTTGAGACAGAGAAGAAAAAGAAAAAGTTTTCTTGCCACTGCGTCATGTTTATTCTCATTTGAATTATTATTTAAACTATTTGCACATTTCCCATCAGATTATATTATAATAACATCTCCTGTTTCATAACCAGTTATAAATGGCGTCTTTGGTTGACAAATGAAGATGCACTATAAAACAGAAATGAGCAGATTGTTATCAACTAGTAAAACAAATTAAAGTGATTGCATGATAAGATGTTTGCGTGCGGCCCTCCCGAACTGATGAGTATTAATAGGGGAGCTACTTCAGCTGGAGCGAACAGTAGTGACCTTCATCTCATCTCACGCACGAAACTGGGAAACTAGCCACATTGCACCATGGCAAAGGCTCTCTTTGGTTTACTGCTCACTTGTTTTTTTCTGGAAGCCATGATTGCTTCATTTAAGGAGGAAGGTAACTGTGGATTTGTCTGCCTCAAAGCTATTTCATGACAGAGCTTCATGGTTTTCCTTTTTTCGGTGGGGGAGTGGGGCATAGGAAGTTCTCTCTACCCTAATGGCGCCCTACCGACTTGATTAGGAGAGTTAAATTTCTCTTACTTGGTTGTTTTAAGCTTAACGCTCGTCGCAGAAAACACGTCTATAGTTGAACAAGTTGGTATTTTTTCAGCTTACACGAGAGTCCTAATGTTATCATAGCTTTTCTTTCTGATCATTCCCTCATTTGGAGGGAATACTTTTTGTGAATGTCGAAATTACTCTTTGATATTGTGGAGGGAAACTTCAGTAAAGGGGATTCCATGAAAGAGCAGAGTGTCTCTTGTCAAAGAGAGAGTTGTTTTTTTAGGGATAAGTCTGTTTTTTAAGCCTGATTAGTCAGTTTTGTCGTGATAATCTGGCTGTAACCCCTCAGCTATCATTTGCCTGTTGGGTTATGTCAGTTTCGATCCGGAAGATAACTTAGGTCGTTTGTTCGGTTCGGTGGTTTCCTTCTTAAAAAAAAAACATATAGCCTGAATTGATTCAGGAAATACCATCCCTTTCCATCAATTCAAAAAAAAAAAATTGGAAACAAAAAAAAAAAAAAAAAGATGGGTCCTTTTCCAAAGAGACATGGTAAGATCGATAATGACAGTTGATATTTCTCTCTGTCTTTTACATAATTAATTTCGAATTGTTTTAGCCAGATGAAAGAAAAATAAGACTGATTTCCTAAAAAACTATCCTTACATACCCGAAAAAGTTAATGTGCAATACTATGTATAATTTAACCTTTGGTCAAAAAGTCTAAATTACGTCTTCATGTGAAGGTGGAGAATATCACCCTTTGATTTCACAATTGCCCCCTAGGTCAAAGGGAAGTTTTGAAACTTGAATTTGACTGCTATTTAACAGTTTATCGTTTTAACATTTCAGAGCCTTGCTCCCTGGATGTTGCTGTCCTGATAGATGTGTCAAAAAGCATGGACAGTGAAGAACGAGATCAGCTAACCGACATCTTCAATAAGATTGTGGACAAATTGGGAGTATCTCCAACAGGGAGTCACATGGCCCTTATAACCTTTGGATCGGATGCCAAGAGCAGTTTTACATTTGCAGACAGAAATTACCACAATGCCGACACCATAAAAGCAAAGGCAGCGGAGGCAATATCTGATTTACAGAAACAAGACGGAACCCGTACAGACCTTGCCGAAGACCTGGCAGTGAAAGACGTGTTCACCAGCAGAGGAGGAGATCGACCCAGTTTCGGCAATGTAATGATTATTCTTACAGATGGAAAATTTTGGATCAATGAAACATGGGATAAAAGGGCAGAAGTTGACTTCAATGTCACAACGGGAATCTTGAAGGTGATAAAATGTAACATTTAATTTAGCATTGTTCAAGGTTTGTTTCAGCTAATGTTAGGGATGTTAATATCAGCGCTATTTTAACTCACTCCTCTTGCATGGATAATGATTTTTTAAGAAAAAAATTAGACCTACCCTAACACTCAGCATTCTTCTTCGTTCACGTTCTTCATTTTCTATCAGCTTCTTGAACAACCTTCCATTTTAGAAAACTAGCTCATATTCATTGGGAAGGTCGTGATTAAGGGTATGTTACTCGGGGTATACCGACTATATCAAGCAAGACACATTTTATGAATAACTTTCGGTGCGAATCTATGCATTGGGAACACCTCGGCACTGAAAATTGAAAGTTAAGCCATGGGATTTACCTACCAGAAGACCCTTGAACAGAGGAAGGATAATTATAAATTTTTCTTTTCTTAGAGAAGAGGGGTGAAAATAATCGTCGCAGGTATCGGTGATGAATTATCCAGTGATGATGCTGATGAGAACTTGGAAAAGGTAGCAGGGGAAGATGGAGAAATATCCAAATATGCGAATTTCACGGAGCTCTCCAGTAAACTCAATGATATAATGAGGAAAGTCTGTCGTAAGTAGACGTTAAAACTCTACCAGTCTTTTTATTTTTATCCGCCCCTTTACGTCTTATATAACAGATGTCAAAATGCTCGTGATAGTGGAATCACGTGCTCACTTTTATTTAAACGTCTTAGTGTTACCTGCTTGTAAAGGAAAAAGCAATAGCATATGACGAATGAAGTTGATATGTTTTTGTGTTGTTGTTGTTTGTTCTTTTTAGTGGTGACTTGATGAACAGTTTTTTAAATTTCAAGATGGTGATGATGATGATGATGATGATGACGATAATGATGATGATGATGATGATGATAAATAAAAAAATAAATAAAAAATAGATAAAAATAAAAAAAAAACGAATTTAAAACAAACCCGGAGAACCGGAGAACTTTATTTAATTCCTTTTCAGTAAGACTTGTAGGAGAATATGAAATCCAGTTAATGACCTAATTATGTGGTTTTGTTTAATGTCAATACAGGATGCCCAGTAGATCTGGCGTTTGTTTTCGACTCTTCAGGTACTATTGGGAAGGGTGCTCTGGATGACGCAAAGATGCTTGTAAAGAAAATGGTAAAAGGTCTAAAACTAGGAGCAGATGAGTCTCGAGTAGCTCTGGTTGTGTTCGCTGATAAAGTTGAGGTTAAGGCTCGATTCAGTGAAAACTTAAGCGTCAAACAATTTCAGGATATGGTACAAAACATGAAAAGCATCGGCAGCATCGGCCGCCGAACACGAATCGACAAGGCCCTGGTAGAAACAAAACAAGTGTTTAAAGAGGGAAGAGATGACGTGTATAAGATTGCAGTGGTGCTGACTGATGGTATACAATCCAAAGACCGCGACACTAAAAGCTTGCTAAGTACCTCTGAGCCCTTGCGAAGAGCAGGTGTCCGTGTGATAGCCGTGGCAATAGGAACTCAGGCGTCTAAAGGCAGACTAAGGCTGATGACCGATTCAATGGACGACGTAAAGGAGGAAGATGAAGCCCTGGAATATTTCCAGCAGCTATTTGACAAACCAAACCAGAATCTCTGTGGTAACTATTGCTAACCCAATTGTTAGGAAGTAAGAAGGGTGATCTCCATTTTGATACAGAATTAGAGAAAGAGCTTACCAATTTCTTGCCTTTGTCTTCAGTTGAAAGTTAATCGATACAGTGCGAGGTTAACGATAATAAAGAAAGAATGGCGACTGAAGAAAAATGATTAGAAAAGTAAATAATAACAACAACAAAAATCAACAATAACTCACCTGACCAATACTGTCAGGGTAATAAGGGTAAGACCGAGATAAATTGGGCCTGACTTGCCTGTTCGGGCTTACTTCCTATGATCCTGCGCAAGCAAAAAAATTGCGTGGAGCGGACTTACAAAGTTCGTAATTTTTGGGCAATGTCGGTGATTGAGTCGTAAAAAGCGTAAGAAGACAGTAATAACAAAGAAAACTTAAAGGACATTTATTGCTTCGGTTTATTCAAAGTTTGCTTTATTTGCCGGCTCTCGAAATAATCCAGGAATGCGTGTTACAAATGAGAGAGAAAAAAGCCAACGATTACGTTTAAAATGTTGCCAATAAATACATTAACAAGCGTCTTTTTCATTGATAATTGATATTTTCTTTTTTCTCTAATGATTATACAGTTCCTTCACCAAGCAAACCTCCTTTTCCAGGTAATGTGTAGTGTCTTTGTACCCTTTTTATTGGAAGGAAATAGTTTTCCAACCTTTCTTTAGGATTTATGACCACTCAAGCACAGAATTAATTAAACCATGTCACGTGACGCCTGGTATTCTTTCACTGTGAAAATGGGAAAGGAGTCATTCATGGAGAAATATGTTTTACGTCTTGTCACTAGCGTAGGACAAAGAAAAAATTCCCCGAGTCCCCATGAGGAATCGAACCTAAGACCTTCTGTTTCCGCGTTCCGATGCTCTACAACTGAGCCGCAGAGACTACGGTGAGCGAGGTCCAATACGAAGTTCATATGACACACGTCCTGCATACTTCTAGGATAAGCAATGTCGATAGCGTCATGTTTGTAAATAGAATAAGAGATATGGTAAGTTTCAAAACTTACCATCTCTGTAATTCTATTTACGAGTCATTCATACCTTATTTTAAATCAACTCATATTTTCTTTTTTCTTCTTCCTCTTTTTCCTTCTTGATACAAAGAACCCGAAGTTTGCAGTGACTCTGTATCTTGTGGACAGCATAGCAAAACTGTTCCCCCATTTTGCGAAACCGATTATGCAGCAGAAAATTGTCCGAAGTTTTGCGATCTTTGCAATCGTCTGGTAAGTACAGAGCTGATGTTTCGGAAAAATAGAGCCAGCTGAAATGTGCTGGTTCATGTGAAGAGAAATTTTCTCAATACTCTTTTTCTTTTTAAATCAATACAGGGCATGACAGTGTAAAAGAAGTGAACAGGCTAAAAGACATTGACGACGCCACGAGATTACGCCATTTGACAACGCCTAAAACCGCATTTAATCAAGTTTAATGAAAGTCTTAACATTTTCTTAAAATAAATATAAAGGGATGAGTATCAGGAAATGAAAGTTGTAAAACATTGTTTAAGTTAAACTAAATAAACGATGAAAAAAAAATGAGACTCGGGTCTGAAGGCTTTATTTGCCTCAAGCAATGGATAACTCGTTTCAGTATCCTTACAAATGGCTTGAACGCGTCCTTGTTATTCCTTTCCACGTCACAAAGTTGATCTCAGAAGGGGTCACCGAGCTGTCCTTATGTTTCGCCAATGCATGTCTTCTTGCAATAAATACAGTTTTTACAATAGATTACATTGACGGAGGCGCACTTGAAATGATCAGTAATCTTAATGGATCGCTTGGGTCCAGAAATGTTCTCGAAGTTTTGAATGAAAGGACAAGTTTTGCATCGTGTACGCTTAAACTTGAGAGTCTCGGGTTGATATCGAACTTCTGACCATAAATGCTATTTCTGACGAGTAAGCGTGCGTTGAAGGCTGAAAAAAAAATTTTGTCGACACGAGCAGGACACCGGAAGTATATAAAAAGGAGTATAGCACGTTATAGTCATGTAGGTCGCTGAATCAACCCAGGAATCAGAGCTCCATTTAGTTCAGTTTTAATTTTTTACTGAAGTCTTGCTTTGCCATCGGCTAGTTTTGTTAAGCCTCCGTAGGATGGGTTTATAGTTTCCGGAGCTAAGGCCTCGGTTCCCACCCAGCTTTCCTGCCCATAGTGTTTTAGTTAGGTTCTTTCCAGGCTCTCCCAAATAAACCTATCTGTCAAAAGGCTTTACTGTTTTCGTGCTGTTTAGTGAAGACTTAATATTTATTTATGAGGTGGTCGCTTTTGAATGAAATTAGAGGAGGCTGCGAAAAGATACTACCAATTTCGGGATCGTTTTGAAGTAATTTAAAGTTTCTAAGAATGGTGGATTGATAATGAGGGTCAGTGTGAGTGTGAATGGAGTAAGACCGATATTTTCCTTCTGTGCCATTTGTAGTGCTGACTGTCGATTAATTTGGTGGTGGCCCGCTTGAGCGACAGAAACAGGATAGCCACGTTTTTCGAAAAACTGGCACATTACCTTTGTTTTGTTGAAAATAATCAGAGCCGTCACTGCATAAACTACGAAGTCTAAGAAATTGAGAATAAGGAATAGTAATTGACATGTGATGGAAGCGAAGCTTTAAAGGGGTTTAAATGTCATAAGGCCTTCAAGGGTTATTTCACTGATAAAGATTAAAAATCATGATTAACACTTTCGAATGATCTAAGATTGACAGCTAATTTCTCCTTGCTTTGTTTAAAAAAAGTGTAGGTATATTTCTTTGGTGGGAAATCAGGCCTGCTCTAATGCAAAGGTGATTTATTAATCGGAAATTTTCCCAGGATTACGAATCAAAGCCATTAGAAAGTGAAGAATAGCGCGGAAAAAAACTGTAACTAGGCTGTCGTGGTTTATCGATGTACAGCGTTTAAGGTATAAAATCTATAAAATCGCCTTGTGGCAAACATTAGTGACAAAAGGGGAGAAAAAAACATTACACCAAACACTGCCAAAAAGAGGAAGATTAAGTCGTGTGGGAAAAAAGACATGTTACACGCCAGAGTTAAAGGAACAGCCCCGGTACAAGTATTTTTCTCTGACCACAGAGAAAAGATTATCCGATAGTAATTCCGAGAAAAAGGGGCTTGAACATTGGGAAAAACTTGCAAGGAAACTGACTTGAAATTCGTGAATTATCGAGTGCAAAATAACGCCAACAGAGTCATTGTTAGAACCTTAATGTGGTAATATATAGATAAACACCTTAAAATTGAGCTCACCTCAAACTTTAAAAGAGCTGAGAGCTTATGGATAGCCTACATTTCTTTTCTTTTGGTTCGGCTCTATGAGCAGGTACTGGTTGCTTTCATTCAGTTATGTCACGGCTGCTACGGCTTTATCACCGGACATTGACTCGCTACAAGTTTGATTCGTGTTTCATTATGTTAAACCGAAATGATGAAGTTATTCTTTTTCCATCAGGGACGTGATCATTTGAGCACCACCCAGAACTGCATTTTAGTCAGTTGTGTCTCGGCTTGGGCAAACGATAAGTCGTATTTATGGCAAGAGCGTTTTGCCCACCATATCTTGAAGTTAGTTTGGTTAAACTCTTACATTACAAATTCCTCAAATATTATTGGTGCATTCGCAGCTTCATTTTTCACTTATCATTCTGAACATTTGTAATCGGACAGTTGTCTGTGATCGAACACCTGTAATCGGACAGTTGAATCAGCCAATCATAGCAGGTAATTTAGTGTTAACAAGTGAGTTGAAAACGTAAATTAGCCACCGTAAAGGGTAAAAAAGCTGACGTTTCGAGCGTTAGCCCTTCGTAAGTCAAAAATGTTTTCCTCGTTACTTCCCATATATCCCATATATATATGTACAAAAAAACAAACAAATGAACAAATTGATTTGTTGTTGGAGAACAGTAAATTTTTACAACTACAAAGTTGCAAAATATATGTAAGCAAACTGTGCATAAAAAGTAAAAACAAGACATAGACATAAAAATATCAGTTCATCTTTTCAAGAAAACTATTAAGAATTCAGAGTGAGAGATCCTAAAATCAGAGAATCTGGAAATAAACTAAATCCATCTTGTGCAAACGCAGTATTCGAACTGTAACCGTCTTTATCTCTCGGCGCCAAAATTTGATCACGTGACTTTAGCTGGGAAACCGCTGAGACTCAACAAGCCTCAGGAGAAAAGGCGAACCATTCATGCGTCAAATTCTCTGGTGGGAAAATTAATTATCGTACCGACGAAGAACTCGTGTCATCTTTAGGTTCAGCGTTCTTTACAATCAATTCCTTGAACTTTAGACGCTCTTTTATAATAGGGATGTAGTGCCTTAGGCGATAGCAAGGAGATCTTTGCCATCGCAACCGTCCTTTTCTGCAAGATAAGATACGAACAAATATCAATGGAGCGGTCAGGTTTGTGTATGTAAAGCTGCAATAAAACGTGTTGTTAAGAAATTTCTTTTGCTTACCTTTCCTTTCTTAAGCCTCATTCCATGCGACTGTAGCCAAGAAACAGCCTCTTCAGAGATGCATTCGCTGTTATAATTCATTATTGTGTCCGATGCATGCGGTCTAGGTTCGACTAATGCGATACGCAGAAGGAGCTGCTAAGACGCACTAGCTCAAGAAGGACGAATTTTGGAGAGAAACACCTTTTATGACAAAATTTTACTCATTGAAAAATTCACAGCGTTAAGTTGAGTAAGTCAATCGATAGTTTGCTGTTCCGGTTTCCACCGAGCGAAAAATTTTCTTTTACCGGTTTATTGCCCTAATAACATCCCAAATCTCTACGTCTTTGTGTCGTTCAAGTCGTGATGGGACTTCCATGTAACCAACATTGATGACAATTTTGGGATAATTATTAGTCATTTCAAAAATTGCACATCGTTGGTAAATCCTACTTGGATCTTGGTAGGGCCAAATTGAGAAAAAGCTCCAAAGTAGAATTCATTTGGGCCAATTCAGATTTTGGAGGGGTCGAAATGGTACCTGTCCGACCCGTTCTGGCTTAAATAGTCCAAAACGAACCTCGACAGGCCATACTGGCCCTCATGACATTGGAGCCAATTTGGCTTTTGGGGTCAATTTGGCTCTCTTCCTTTTACAGTGTAATGATCTTTTGCATAATCAATTAAAAAAAGCCATTTAGAAATTGCCTTTGCTTGCTTAATTAAAACAAATCCTTTTCAGTTTAGTGATCAATGCTTTTTTTCCATTTTGTCCTCGTGAAGACAATGTTATTTCAAACCTGTCTATTCCTGTCTATTCTTGGAGCTGACTGTTAACATTATGCTGCGCAATTTTTGCTTTTCACACGGTTTTGAATATCAAATTGTGCAATTTGGGTTTTCTTTAAACAGTTCTAAGGATCACAATATGCAATATATGTTTTTAAACAGTTTTAAATAACAGAAATGCGATCAACGTTTTTAGAAATTTTACACTGATCTTCTCATTAATATGCTTCATTGGCTCAGTTGCCAAGAAAGTGAGGAGAGGAGAGATTTTTTTGCTTAACGAATTTTTCTAATGGCGATCTGATGAGAATCACAAGGTTTAGACAAGAATGTAGATGAAAAGAAGAAAATGTCTCGGTAGCAATGCTCGTTATCTGTTTGCTTTTCCAAAAAAAAAACTCTTTATCATTTTAGAAATTATTGCTCACAACCCCTTTTTGCTCGCGGAGAAACTTGCTTAATTTACAAACGTGATTTCCAAAAGGGGGACTGTTGCCAACATTTTCAAACACGACTTTTTTTTTCCCCGAAAATTATGAGCAGATAGTGGCCATGGTCTACTTATATTTCTACTTATATTTCATCATGCTCTGTCAGTTGTTAACCAAGTAACCAAAAGGAACCTTTATTTATTGAATTGCTTGCACTATTATAAAATTGGCGTTTGTTACAAGGATTTGAGTTAAAAATAAGCGCGTTCAAGAGCAAACACAGTTTTCCTTCAATTTTTCCCCTTTTGTCTCAATTCTCCTTTTTTAAACGACCATTGCAAGCAATTTTTTTAGTTTCTTCACACGCCATAATCTTTCTTTTTTTTCAGAAAAATCACGACACGGGAGACAGCTGCTTTGTTGTTATCATTTAATCTCGACTGATTAATTTGTCTTCGACCGATGGGTGAGCCAATTTTAAAGACCAATGTTTGAATTCCTGTTTACCGAATTCAAACCACGGTTATGTGATCACATTGCTGAAAAGGCCTATTGGAGAAGTATAAGGCAGCATTGATAACATCAGAAGAATTATATGATGCATCAGAAAACATCGATATAATCAGTTTGTCCTATTAATGGAATAACGCAGTTTGATAGCGCCGTACTATCAATAGACGACGCCAGTGTGGGAGTTATTCCAAGGGCGTTCAAACTGAACGTTTTCACGCGGCATGTTCACACGATAAGGGACAGCTGACCCTCATATTATTACTATAAAGTTGTCAAAATAAAAGAGAGAAATGAAAAAGAAAACACGACTTGTTTATGGGCATATTTTTAACTGAATCCTCTAAATTAAATTAAAATTGTAAAGCACCATTTGAAACATGTTCGCCATGTTTCCCAGATATGCTTATTCAACTTTAACGTTGATCGATATACCCTGAAGGTAAAATCTTCGCATCATATTCTACACGTTTTAATAAGGAAGTTCAACGGGTGGCGAGGTAACATATTTTACCAAGGCAACATCTACAACGAAATTGATTTCTATCAAGCTTCCAATCATTACAACAAAAAATAATACAAAACAAAAGAAAAAAGAAACCTTATCCGCCAACGGAAAGCAAGGTCGAAAGAAAGAAAGACTACCATAATGAAACAGCCCTCAATGGAGGCAAATGAGACAGTATTTGCTTGTAAATATGCAAATTTACACTGATCTATCTTCAACTTTTTAGAGTCTACGTGATCACAAAAAGGACTTTCCTTGATATGTATCTTAGGCTTGCCTGGTTAGCAACAGAGCATAAGAAGGCAAAATATGTATGAGAAGATCAGAAATTACGTGCTATGGTATTAGTAGCTGCTTAAGGAAACAACTGAAAATTAGATTATATGATGTCTAAACTGTTTAAAAAGCAGAAATTGCACAATGTGAAAATAAGGAAAAAAAACAACGAAAACGAAAAAAAGATAGAATGATGAATTAATGGTATGTGATATTCTTAGCTTCGTTAAGAAACAGAAAAAAAAGAGCTTTTAAAGATCGTTTGAATAGAGAACGACTTTGAGACAGAGAAGGAAAAGAAAAAGTTTTCTTGCCACTGCGTCATGTTTATTCTCATTTAAATTATTATTTAAACTATTTGCACATTTCCCATCAGATTATATTATAATAACATCTCCTGTTTCATAACCAGTTATAAATGGCGTCTTTGGTTGACAAATGAAGATGCGCTATAAAACAGAAATGAGTAGATTGTTATCAACTAGTAAAACAAATTAAAGTGATTGCATGATAAGATGTTTGCGTGCTGCCCTCCCGAACTGATGAGTATTAATAGGGGAGCTACTTCAGCTGGAGCGAACAGTAGTGACCTTCATCTCATCTCACGCACGAAACTGGGAAACTAGCCACATTGCACCATGGCAAAAGCTCTCTTTGGTTTACTGCTCACTTGTTTTTTTCTGGAAGCCATGACTGCTTCATTTAAGGGGGAAGGTAACTGTGGATTTGTCTGCCTCAAAGCTATTTCATGACAGAGCTTCATGGTTGTTTTAAACTTAACGCTCGTCGCAGAAAACACGTCTATAGTTGAACAAGTTGGTATTTTTTCAGCTTACACGAGAGTCCTCATGTTATCATAGCTTTTCTTTCTGATCATTCTAAATTTGGAGGGAATACTTTTTGTGAATGTCGAAATTACTCTTTGATATTGTGGAGTGAACCTTTAGTAAAGGGGATTCCATGAAAGAGCAAAGTGTCTCGTGTCAAAGAGAGAGTCGTTTTTTTAGGGATAAGTCTGTTTTTAGGTCTGATTGGTCAGTTTTGTCGTGATAATCTGGCTGTAACCCCTCAGCTATCATTTGCCCGTTGGGTTATGTCAGTTTCGATCCGGAAGATAACTTAGGTCGTTTGTTCGGTTCGGTGGTTTCCTTCTTAAAAAAAAAAACATATAGCCTGAATTGATTCAGGAAATACCATCCCTTTCCATCAATTCAAAAAAGGAAATAGGAAACAAAAAAAAAAAAAAGATGGGTCCTTTTCCAAAGAGATATTGTAAGATCGATAATGACAGTTGATATTTCTCTCTGTCTTTTACATAATTAATTCCGAATTGTTTTAGCTAGATGAAAGAAAAATAAGACTGATTTCCTAAAAAACTATCCTTACATACTCGAAAAAGTTAATATACAATATTATGTATAATTTAACCTTTGGTCAAAATGTCTAAATTACGTCTTTTCATGTGAAGGTGGAGAATATCACCCTGGATTCCTGACTCCTGAAATGAGCAAATACAACGACGATGATTGCCTCGGTAAGCCACAACTGTTTTCATGGGATTTATTAAAAGGAAGTCTTGTTTGTTGTTTTTTTTTCCGCTGTTTAGCATGATTCGCAATCAGCCTTATATCCTGCCAAAGCTCAGCCAGTGGGCTACAACTCCATGGCTGGAGGACTGCTTAGTATCATGAGCAGTGGGCTTCGTAGGGGGCTGCAGTCGATACTGAAAACAATTGCCCCCTAGGTCAAAGGGAAATTTTGAAACTTGAATTTGACTGCTAATTAACAGTTTATCGTTTTAACATTTCAGAGCCTTGCTCCCTGGATGTTGCTGTCCTGATAGATGTGTCACGAAGCATGGACAGTAAAGAACGAGGTCAGCTAACCGACATCTTCAATAAGATTGTGGACAAATTGAGAGTATCTCCAACAGGGAGTCACATGGCCCTTATAACCTTTGGATCGGATGCCAAGAGCAGTTTTACATTTGCAGACAGAAATTACCACAATGCCGACACCATAAAAGCAAAGGCAGCGGAGGCAATATCTTATGTACCGAAACATGACGGAACCCGTACAGACCTTGCCGAAGACCTGGCAGTGAAAGAAGTGTTCACCAGCAGTGGAGGAGACCGACCCAGTTTCGGCAATGCAATGGTTATTCTTACAGATGGAAAATTTTGGATTAATGAAACATGGGATAAAAGGGCAGAAATTGACTTCAATGTCACAACGCGAAACTTGAAGGTGAAAAAATGTAACATTGAATTTAGCATTGTTCAAGGTTTGTTTCAGCTAATGTTAGGGATGTTAATATCAGCGCTATTTTAACTCACTCCTCTCGCATGGAAATGATGTTTTAAGAAAAAAATTAGACCTACCCTAACACTCAGCACTCTTCTTCGTTCACCTTCTTCATTTTCTATCAGCTTCTTGAAATACCTTCCATTTTAGAAAACTAGCTCATATTCATTGGGAAGGTCGTCATTAAGGGTATGTTACTCGGAGTATACCGACTTTATCAAGTAAAGCCACATGTTATGAATAACTTTCAGTGCGAGTATATGTCCTGGGAATACCTCGGCACTGAAAATCGAAAGTTAAGCCATGGGGTTTACCTACCAGAAGACCCGAGAACAGAGGAAGGATAATTATAAATTTTTCTTTTCTTAGAGAAGAGGGGTGATAATAATCGTCGCAGGTATCGGTAGTGAATTATCCAGAGATGATGCTGATGAGAACTTGAGAAAGGTAGCAGGGAAAGATGGAGAAATATCCAAATATGCGGATTTCAATGAGCTCTCCAGTCAACTCAATAATTTAATGAGGAAAGTCTGTCGTAAGTAGACGTTAAAACTCCACCAGTCATTTTAGTTTTATCCGCCCCTTTACGTCTTATGTAACACATGTCAAAATGCTCGTGATAGTGGAGTCACGTGCTCACTTTTATTTAAACGTCTTAGAGTTGCCTGCTTGTAAAGGAAAAAGCAATAGCATATGACGAATTCTGAAGTTAATATGTTTTTGTGTTGTTGTTTTTTCTTTTAAGTGGTGACTTGATGAACTTTTTTTTAAATTTTAAGATGGTGATGATGATGATGATGATGATGATGATAATGATGATGATGATAATGATGATGATGATAATGATGATGATGATAATGATGATGATGATAATGATGATAATGACGACAATTCATATCACAAATATCATAAATGAATTTTATTGCGACCTGCTGGTTAAATTTAAGCGCAAAAAAATTACCTCAAGAAAAGCAAAAAAGAAGCCTGAAAGGAAATTCAAGCTTTCGACAGGACTCGAACCCGTGTATTACAGATACTAGTCAGCAGCTCAGTGCTACCAACTGAGATACGTAGCTTCAAGTTGGGAGCGAAGCAAATTCTATTGGTTTCTACTTCCCCATAAGTAATTTGATTGCCATTCAAAATAAATAAATTTTACTCATTTCATCAATTATTCCATAAATTGCATCAGCGAGGTTAATTTCTGCACTAAAATTTCATTTGCAGGTCGAAGAACCTACTAAAATTTCTGTTGCTCACAATCCCCCCAACGTGTGTCTTTATAGCTTAGTGTGTAGTGCCGCGCATCCAACCGGTGTTGCTGGGAAGCTTGCACAAGAATCTCGTCGAATCGATCATTTCTGCCTCTAATATCACAATTAAATATTTTTTTTCGAAAATCTCGTATGTTGTTTTATCTGAAAAAGAAAAACACGTTTTCTTAAAAGAACCCACTCTGTTATCTTTACTCTTGACAACCATTATAGGATCTACTGACGGCAAGTACACACAGTGGTCAAAGTTTTCGTCGTGCAGTAAAACATGCGGAGAAGGACACCAAACCCGCACAAGAACCTGTACCAAACCTCCCCCGTCAAAATGTGGAAAGGATTGTATCGGTGCTGATAAGGAAACAAGGAGTTGCACAGAGAATCCTGGTAAGATGACACTCATAAAATTGACTTAAAATAATTATTATTCATGATTTCATAACTACTACCCCTTTCAAAATCATGCGAATTCTGACGGAAAAAGCCAGATTTTCGAAATTTTTGTCCTACGAAATTAAGCGATTATAACGCTGTGTTATGACCTTTTGAGCTCTCGAAAAAGATCACAGCTCTTTCCTGAGAAATGTGCAACATGATTGATGCATTAAGACGGATTTATAAGATCTTTCCCCAACTACGTGCCATTCCTATGTTACTGAAAAGGGCAGTTATGGTAATTTTCCACGAGGTTGATAATCCAATGATACTTATTGCCCTTTCATGGTCAATTTGCAGTTATTGATGGTCGTTACGCAGATTGGTCTGAGTCTGAGTGCAATGCAAAATGTGGAGGAGGAACCTTGACTCGCACGAGAGGCTGCACCAATCCTCCACCTAATATATGTGGAAGGGCTTGCATTGGGCCTGCCAAAGAGACTATTACATGCAACGAAGAAGAATGCCCTCGTAAGTCAAAGTTCTGCACAATAAAAGATTATCTGTTCTTCTGCATTCTAATTTCCTGTAAATTTTGAATACAAAAAGTAAAGCCTTTTACTCTGTTTCTCTTGACACACGGTGCTGGTGTTGATGTCCAAACGTATTCATATGATTTCCAAGTTGTCTCGTTCCCCTCGTATTAGTTCGTCATAAAGGAGAAAGTGATCTTTTCATATTATCCTTTAGTAGCATTACAAAAGTACAGAATAGTTTACAATAAGGTTTTGAACCACTGTGAAGATAAAAATAAAAAAACGAATTTAAAACAAGAGAATCGGAGAACTTTATTTAATTCGTTTTCAGTAAGACTTGTAGGAGAATATGAAATCCAGTTCATGATCTAATTATGTGGTTTTGTTTAATGTCAATACAGGATGCCCAGTAGATCTGGCGTTTGTTTTCGACTCTTCAGATACTATTGGGGTTGGTGCTCTGGAAGACGCAAAGATGCTTGTAAAGAAAATGGTAAAAGGTCTAGAACTAGGAGCAGATGAGTCTCGAGTAGCTCTGGTTGTGTTCGCTGATAAAGTTGAGGTTAAGGCTCGATTCAGTAAAAACTTAAGCGTCAAACAATTTCAGGATATGGTACAGAACATAAAAAGCATCGGCAGCCGAACACGAATCGACAAGGCCCTGGTAGAAACAAAACAAGTGTTTAAAGAGGGAAGAGATGACGTGTATAAGATTGCAGTGGTGCTGACTGATGGTAAACAATCCAAAGACACTAAAAGCTTGCTAAGTACCTCTGAGCCCTTGCGAAGAGCAGGTGTCCGTGTGATAGCCGTGGCAATAGGAACTCAGGCGTCTAAAGGCAGACTAAGGCTGATGACCGATTCAATGGATGATGTAAAGGAGGAAGATGAAGCCCTGGAATATTTCCAGCAGCTATCTGACAAACTAAACCAGAATCTCTGTGGTAACTATTGCTAACCCAATTGTTAGGAAGTAAGAAGGGTGGTCTCCATTTTGATACAGAAATAGAGAAAGAGCTTACCAATTTCTTGCCTTTGTTTTCAGTTGAAAGTTAATCGATACAGTGCGAGGTTAACAATAATAAAGGAAAGAATGGTGACTGAAGAAAAATGATTAGAAAAGTAAATAATAACAACAACAAAAATCAACAATAACTCACCTGACCAATACTGTCAGGGTAATAAGGGTAAGACCGAGATAAATTGGGCCTGACTTGCCTGTTCGGGCTTACTTCCTATGATCCTGCGCAAGCAAAAAAATTGCGTGGAGCGGACTTACAAAGTTCGTAATTTTTGGGCAATGTCAGTGATTGAGTCGTAAAAAGCGGAAGAAGACAGTAATAACAAAGAAAACTTAAAGGACATTTATTGCTTCAGTTTATTCAAAGTTTGCTTTATTTGCCGGCTCTCGAAATAATCCAGGAATGCGTGTTAGAAATGAGAGAGAAAAAAGCCAACGATTACGTTTAAAATGTTGCCAATACATTAACAAGCGTCTTTTTCATTGATAATTGATATTTTCTTTTTTCTCTAATGATTACACAGTTCCTCCACCAAGCAAACTTCCGTTTCCAGGTAATGTGTAGTGTCTTAAGTTTGTATCCTTTTGTTTTGGAAGGAAATAGTTTTCCGACCTTTCTTTAGGATTTATGACCACTCAAGCACAGAAAGTATTCTTAATTAACTCATGTCACGTGAAGCCTGGTATTCTTTCACTATGAAAATGGGAAAGGAGTCATTCATGGAGAAATAAGTTTTTCGTCTTGTCACTAGCGTAGGACAAAGAAAAAATTCCCCGAGTCCCCATGAGGAATCGAACCTAAGACCTTCTGTTTCCGCGTTCCGATGCTCTACCACTGAGCCGCAGAGACTACGGTGAGCGAGGTCTAATACGAAGTTCATATGACACACGTCCTACATACTGCTAGGATAAGCAATGTCGATAGTGTCATGTTTGTAAAGAGAATAAGAGATATGGTAAGTTTCAAAACTTACCATCTCTGTAATTCTATTTACGAGTCATTCATACCTTATTTTAAATAAACTCATATTTTCTTTTTTCTTCTTCCTCTTTCTCCTTCTTGATACAAAGGAACCGAAGTTTGCAGTGACTCTGTATCTTGTGGACAGCATGGCAAAACTGTTCCCCCATTTTGCGAAACCGATTATGCAGCAGAATATTGTCCGAAGTTTTGCGATCTTTGCAATCGTCTGGTAAGTACAGAGCTGATGTTTCGGAAAAATAGAGCCAACTGGAATGTGCTGGTTCATGTGAAGAGAAATTTTCTCAATACTCTTTTTCTTTTTAAATCATTACAGGGCATGACAGTTTAAAAGAAGTGAACAGGCTAAAAGACATTGACGACGCCACGAGATTACGCCACTTGACAACGCCTAAAACCGCATTTAATCAAGTTTAATGAAAGTCTTAACATTTTCTTAAAATAAATATAAAGGGACGAGTATCAGGAAATTAAAGTTGTAAAACATTGTTTAAGTTAAACTAAATAAACGATGAAAAAAAAATGAGACTCGGGTCTGAAGGCTTTATTTGCCTCAAGCAATGGATAACTCGTTTCAGTATCCTTACAAATGGCTTGAACGCGTCCTTGTTATTCCTTTCTACGTCACAAAGTTGTTCTCAGAAAGGGTCATCGAGCTGTCCTTATGTTTCGCCAATGCATGTGTTCTTGCAATAAATACAGTTTTTACAATAGATTACATTGACGGAGGCGCACGTGAAATGATCAGTAATCTTAATGGATCGCTTGGGTCCAGAAATGTTCTCGAAGTTATGAATGAAAGGACAAGTTTTGCGTCTACGCTTAAACTTGAGAGTCTCGGGTTGATATTGAACTTCTGACCATAAATGCTATTTCTGACGAGTAAGCGTGCGTTGAAGGCTGAAAAAAAAATTTTGTCGACACGAGCAGGACACTGGAAGTATACAAAAGGGAGTATAGCACGTTATAGTCATGTAGGTCGCTGAATCAACCCAGGAATCAGAGCTCCATTTAGTTCAATTTTAATTTTTTACTGAAGTCTTGCTTTGCCATCGGCAAGTTTTGTTAATCCTCCGTAGGATGGACTTATAGTTTCCGGAGCTAAGGCCTCGGTTCCTACCCAGCTTTCCTCTTTCCTGCCTATAGTGTTTTCGTTTGGTTCTTTCCAGGCTCTCCCAAATAAACTTACCTGTCAACAAGCTTTACTGTTTCCGTGCTGTTTAGTGAAGAATTAATATTTA